AAAGTGAGGCATGTTACTTTGAAAAAAGGTGTCTCAGGGTAATGACCTTGCTTGAAAGGATGTTTATTTTTATTTTTTGTAATTTCATACTTTGGAGAAATGTGAAAGTATGTTATTGTTTTAGTGACAATTTATTGTTATCTGGATACTATTTGTAATTTTATCTAAATAATATAGTTTTTAATTTTTATTGGGAGTTGATCATATAATTTTTGGTATTTTAATTTATCAAATGAAAATTATTTAATGGAGCTACTGCTTATCAAAATAAAATAAGTAAAGCCCCTCCTCATAACTCATCAAAATCTTGAACATTATGCTTGTGAAAAAAAATTAGGATTTTAAGCTCTAAAAATAACATATATTGTAATAAACTATCTAGATCGTCCATTTCACCATAAAAATAAGATTTTGAAGATCCACAAGATCGATGCCATTCTTTAGTCTTAAATTTTATTGTCGCTGTTGGAAATTGATTTTAGAACCGTTATGGAGATTTATGTTGCTGAAAGTACTTTATGGATGAGGATTATAAGAACTTCATTCTTTATAAAATATATTAAAATTCCACATTAAAGACATAATGAAAATATATCTTAATATATTTTAATAAATATAGTAAAATTCCATATTAAAGACGTAATGAAATGTTAACAACAAATTCTACTTTCTACCATTGTTGATATAAAATTGCTAATCTATTTTCGAATGGCTAATCTATTTTAATAAATCTACTTTCTACCATTGTTGAAATGTTAACAATAAATTGCTAATCTATTTTCGAATTGCATACAAGTTATTATATGAAAGTTATTCATTACAATAATAAAGATATTATCACTATTATAACTATTATAACTATTATAACTATTTAGATAACTAAATAAGAGTTTATCACTATTATAACTATTTAGGATATTATCACTATTATAACTATTTAGATAACTAAATAAGAGTTTATCACTATTATAACTATTTAGGATATTATCACTATTATAACTATTTAGATAACTAAATAAGAGTTTATCAATATAATTGTCCACTATCACTATACTACTATGATTGTGCTATAATTTTTTATGGGCAGGGTATATAATCATTGTCATAGCCTTTTCCTTACTACTTGGGGTCGGCTACAAGCATATTGTTCCGACATTACGCTCTATCAAGTATATAATAAGACCCCATATTTCGATAGGAAAAAAAAATTGCAATCACCTCGAACTATATGAAATTAGGCAGCTGAAATTTTACGGAATCTCTCTAAAAGTATGAGAAAATTTTCATTTAATTTCACACTTAGCCATTCATGGTGTCCCTGAATTTATTTTAGATAACCATTGTACAAAATTCCTTTTTATTTTCCATATTTTCCCTCCTTTTTTATTGTTATTGAAAAGGGTGTCTGTGGTATTTTAGATATATTCAGGGAGTGGTTTAGTCCCTTAATAAAAATATTCGGAGAAAACTACAATGATTCCTTTTGTTTTTGTATTTATTTACTCTTTTTTTTGTTTGAAATTGTATTTATTTACCTCTTGGTTTTAAAACTTTAATCATGTTTTACTTTTTTTTTCCATAATTTCCGGCGTTTTGAGATTTCACATTTACGCGCGTAAGAGAAAAAAGCGAAAAGCTGTCTCCCTGGTTTAAAAAACCCTAATGTTATTACTATCGCTTGTGGTTTTAAAACCCTAATTTTACTGCACTTACAGTGATATCGGGCTCAAATCAAAGATGCAAATTTCGCCTGACGCCTCATGACATCTCAGGCCAAAGGTTCAGGTTACTCCTCTCTGCCTGCTGAAGAGCTCTCTTTTCAAGTTCGTTTTGGTGTATTTTTCATTCTTTTTGGTTGATATTTCGAGCCCTTTTTTCTCCTTTTCAGTGTATGGTTTTAGGTTTAAATTGATGTTTCATATCGCTTGCAAGTAGTGACTGTTATCACAAGTATGCAAGTTTTACATTTCATCTTCTCTGGATGCATTGGTTTTGAGGATTTATGTGCTTTTGCACTATCTGTTTCACTGTTTCATCGCAATTTGAAAAACTTGGGGTTTAAGGTTTTGCATTTTATCATGATTTTAATTTGTAGACATTTTGTCACTATGGTTGGTTTTATCTGAGTAGTCTGTGACACTTCTGTTGAAGATCATGGATTGAATTTTGATCGCATACTGGAAAATAGTTGAAGAATTTCATGATTCTAAATTTCTGGACATATGTACTAAATATTGGTTAACTATTAAGTGGGTGTTTACTCATTTATATTTTTATTCTAAAAAAAATCTAAATGGGGGGTGTGTAAATTTGAGAACATTAATTGCACTTGTCTGATATTAACTTGTAACATGGTCGAAAACATTTATCTGATAACTTATTCAGCAATAGCATGATAAGTAAGAGTTGATTAAATTTTCAGGTTGACCTCTGCTTTTGGCATTGACATAAGCTCCATGTAGGTCCGGGGTTGACCCAATCAGTGATTAAAAATTGGGCTAGGATAGGGCACTGATCCCGAGTCCCGCAGTCCTATTTCGATGTTTCAAGTTGGAATGGTGAACTTTGACGAGAAAAATTCAAAAAATCATGAAAAGACTCTGGCGATTCCAGGGTTTTTGAGCCCAAAATCTTCTGGCTCATGATCCAGTCCAACTCGGGTGTGCCTTGAGTTGGACTAGTGATTTTTTCGAATACTGACCTCAAAATATACTAAAAGCCTTTGAACTAATGCTTATCCTAATTTCATCTTCTGTCCGGTCCACAACACGGCATAGCTTCTTAAGGTAGTCACTCATTCAATACATATTTCTGTAGCAGAACATATGATTTTAATTCATACACAAACGATTCATGGATTCTGTATTGATTACCGTAAAAGGTATTGGTTCTCAAAGTTACAGTGAACACCCAAGAAGGCCTACTGAAAATGGCAATGCCCCTTTCTTAGAGGTCTTGTTGAATTTCTATTTAAGGGTAGCTCAGTTTTGCGTTGATTTTGGGACAAATTCAGGGGTTTGAATCCTTTACCTCCCTTACGAAACAAATATCTTGCCATTCGGACCAAGCCCAAGCCCAAAACATCAAAAGTACTATTTGAATCGTTTTGGTTTTTGAGGAACTTGACTTGGAAGGGTGCTGACTACTATGGTGTTTTTACAGGCAAGTAGACAGCATGCTTTTACAACTATACCATAGGGATCGGCGAAAGCTGCTTGAATTTATCATGTCATCTAGCCTGGTTAAAGATGTCCGGCTTCCTCCTGGGGCTACTGGGCTTAATGATGTTGATTGGGATACTGTTAGTGTAGACCATGTCATTGAATGTGCAAAAGAAGGTAATGATTTCTTATTTGATTGTTCGTTGATAAGAAAATGTGGCTCTTTGGGTTTGTGTTTTGGTGATTCTGGCTCCTTCTGCAGGCAGACTTCTGGATCTTTCTGAATCTAGTAAAAGGTACTATCTTGAAGAAAAATTCCCATTAATGGTAAGTTACTTCCTGGAGATCTTACCATTGTTATCATATGGAGGCTGTTGATTTTGTATGGTGTCTTTGGATTTCAGTTGGTTTTATTAGGTGTGGTTTAGGGTTTAGGTTATCAGTTGGCTGTAACTTTCTGCTAACTTCAGCCTTTGGCCAATTGATACTGGGGTCAATCCCAATTTTGATTTGGTATGTAGAGAACAAAATGTGTTTCTAAGCAAATCTTTTAAATCTCACCCCACAGTCAAACTTTTATGCTACAAAAATTGAATATTTTAAATCCCACACCACAATCAAACTTTTATGCTACAAAAATTGATGCTATATGGTACCGTTGCTTGAGATTTGATCCTATGTGCATTTTCTCCTCTCCTTAAGAAGAAGGTTACTAATTTTTTTTTTTTGCTTACTCCTATTTGCAGGTAAATTCTGAATCAAGAAGCTCGTTCTATCTATTATCAGATCCAGAATATTCTGGGTCCCCACCTAGACATGTGCCACCTCAGGTTGGCGCTAATTTCTCATGGCAATCAAGTCCTGTCAACCCTTTAGTTGATGATGTTATTACCAAATATGAGGTTGAAGATGGAGGCATACCAATTACTTCACGTGTTAGACCTTCTCAACCCATGAATGGCATAGAGCATATTTCATTTGGTTTACCTAGCCTAAGTACAGGTAATAATAAGGTGAACTATGCCCTTCATCATGTTTGAAATCTGTGATATTGCTAATTTTTTTCTATTCTCGGAGAGGCTTATTTGCTCGAGTAGTTTTATTTGATGTAATTTGTTTCTATTCCTCTGTGCTCATACTATGAAATAATCAATCAATATAGATTGATTATATTGTTGGACTGGTTGATGAATTTATGTCAGTTCACAGGTTTATCTGATGATGATTTAAGAGATGCATCTTATGAAGTTCTGGTCGCTTGTACAGATGTCTCTAGGTGTGTCTTTTTGCACTATGACTAAAACTGCTGCTATCCGTGGAGATAAAATGACCTTTTGTAATTCGTTTTTTTGTTATTGTCCTAAATCATAATCCCTGGATATGGTTTGATTTGTTTTTCTACTAGGGATATGATACTCTCTAGTGAGGGTAAAAAGAAAGACAGAAGAACTAAGTTTCTATCAAAGTTAAGGACTAAAAAAGAAAAACTTCAACCGCAAAATTGCTTCGCTGGTAGTGACTTTGAGTTGCTTGATACGATCCGAATGCAATTGGAGGCAAGTTGTAATTTGCATCATGAGTTTTTATTGTAACAAAAGTATACTACTTGTCATTATTTCAGTGGTAATTATTGTTTATTGAATCTACATTTATATGGGATTGCTGTTTTCTTTTTGTCTTGAATAGATATTAATACTTTTTTCTTAGTTGTAGGAGTTTTGGCTTTAGATGGTACAGTTTCACATCTCATTTTCTCTTTTTTCTTTCAAAGAATGACAGTTATTGTTGAACATTTGGTTGCTATTCATTTTTTGCTTTCTTAGATATCAGAAGCAATGGATAGATGCATCAGGCAAAGCTTGATACATACCTCATCAGCATCACGTGGACCCATCAGTATTGCTGTGATCTCATTGGAGCTTCTGAGTAACATATCCAAATCAAGCTTTTCTAATGAAAAGGCATATATAAATTGGCTAAAGAGGCAGGTAATTAAGCAACTCTGGTTGGTCAGTCTCTAGTTATTTGAAGATTATAACCCACTGATGTCTTGACACTGCTTTCTTTGTAGGCCAATATACTTGAAGAACTCCTCGCTCCTCCAACTAACAGGAATTTAGAAACTGATCTGACAATGCTGAAGAACTTGTTGTCAAAGATCAAACACACAACGGTGCATACTTTCTGGAATTTCTACCCATGAAAAACTCAAAAGTCGGAACAATAATTTTCTCAATTGAGTGCATTGATTATATTTCAATTCAAGTAGCAACAAGGGATTTTAAAACTTGATCCTGTTGCTTGGAATTAAGCACTTGAGGCATTAACAATCTCTCTCTCTCTCTCTGTATTCACTAACTTTTTGTGCTTGTAGGACTGGGCACTAATGACCCCATCAAAGCAGGGTGAAGTCCTAACATCTATTAGAAGATTTGCTTCAGAGTTGGCACAAAGGCCTGGAAAGTTCCGTATCCCAGGCGAAACTTACTTTTGGACAGGTGCTTATCACTTGAATATTAGGCTTTATGAGAAGTTACTGAACAGTGTGTTTGATATCCTCGAAGAAGGCAAGCTTTTAGAGGTACGTGAGTCTCTCATTAGTTGTTTTGTTAAATATTCTATAGCATATTTGAGGTATATTAGGGTAGACTTGTCATTGAGGTTTATATATTAACTCTGACAGTTCAAATATTTTTCAGGAAGTAGATGAAATTCTTGAATTTCTCAGGGCAACGTGGCCAACTTTAGGCATTACACCCCAAATACATGATGCACTGTATGCCTGGGTGCTTTTTCAACAGGTAGAGCTCATTCTCTACTCCAGAATACTCCTTTTTTTTATAAATAATTTTGGGAAATTATCGCTAATATACCTATATTTTAAGGAAATAGGAAAAAAAACCCCAACTTCCCAAAACCTCGCTCACACCCTTTTTCACAAATTTTGACAATTTTTGTACGAAACTACCCTTTACGGTGGTAGTCTTTTTACCGTAAAAAGCATTACGGTAATTTAAATACCATAATGTTTAGTCGCTTCTATACGGTAATATATATACCATGTTAATAAGAAACATTTGTACGGTAATTTAATTACCGTATTGTTTTTACAATGAATGACGGTACTCATAGTACCATAATATAAAGATTTACATTTTTGTGCGAGAGAGAGAGAGAGAGAGAGAGAGAGAGAGAGAGAGATTTACATTTTTGCGACTCCTTCGCCCTCCTCCTGAAGTCTTACTGCCCCAACTTCAGCCCAACAAAAGAAATTTAATGATTAAATGGAGAGGATTATTTCCATAGATCAAAAGCAGAACTAGAGTCAAGCTAAAAATTATTTGAAACGAAATATGATATAAATTACCACTAACCATGAAAACACCAATCAGACAAGCATCTCAGAAATAGCGGAAAAAAAAAGAAAACCACAGGAAAAGGAGATTAAATTTGATCGTATAATCTCCATAGAAACAAATAGCCACAGGCATAATTTTACAACCATTAGTGCTATTTTTTATTCTAATGGCCCCACGACCATCGGAACCTTTAAAAAAAAAAGAAACAAGAAGAAAAAAAGAGCATATAAAGTGGAATTCAAATTTCAATTATACCAAAACAACAATTTTATAGGCAAAAAAAAAAATGTAAATTGTAAATGATAAAAAAGAGATCCACGCATTGAGACTAACCTACAATCATTGCTTGCAATCGAAGAACGGAGCTCCCCATCTGAGACTTTTGAACTGGATGAGAGAGAAAATGAAGAGTGAGAATTAAATGTGGGCTCAGCAATTGGTGGTTGCAAGCCTGGTAATGCCCAGTTCTTGACTTTCGAACCCTCTTCTCATCAATCGTTTTTCTCCATTCCTCTCTCTTCTCGTGGAATTGAGAGCAGCCTCTCAAAGGCCTTAACCAAATGCATAACCCTTCTAGACCTTGGCTGTGGTATATTGTTCATGGCTTCTTCAAGCAACTGTCTCCTCAGTGTTCTTCAAGCAACCTTGCAGTAATTACGGTATTAAGAATACTGTAATGTAAAGTTTTGATATTACGGTACTCTAAGTACCGTAATATAAATTCATATTATTATAGTATTTAAAATACCGTAATGTTATGTGAAATGATAACGGTACTTAAATTACCGTAACTAGAAAAAAGAATTACGGTAGTTTTTCTACTGTGAAGGTCATTTTTGTCCAAAAAATACTAAAATTTGTGAAAAAGGGTGTGGGCGAGGTTTTGGGAATTTTGGGTTTTTTTTTTTTCAATTTACTTAAAATATAGGTATATTAGCGATAATTTCCCAATAATTTTTGACTTGCTAACGAGCTTATCTGTTGAAGTTTCTATACTGAATCTCGCTACCCATGATGATGGACTTTGTTTGTAGGCACTTTTTATTTTGCCGAGTTGTTTGTTTCATGCATGCTGTGTATCAAAAGAATGGGTTGCTTGATTTGTATTATTTCACTTAAGAACACTACGAATTGAGAGATGAATACTATGCAGCGCTTTGCTAATGGATTATTTGATCGGGGGGTCATAAGTCATGTGTTGTTCATTTGATCCTTCTCTTCCCCTTTTCATTTGTTGATAGTCTGTTTTACAAAGTAGAAGGTTACCTAGATCTAAGATTTAGGTTTCTGGTGTTTCCAAATATCTAAAATGTATTTGTAGCTTTTAGTTTTTTCAGAAACTTAAGGTACAAATACCTTTTTTTGCTTAACATGGTTAAAAAGTGCTAAAAATGATGGAATTACCTATTTCTTCTTCTCTTTTTTTTTTTTTTTTTTTGAAAATCATGGAATTATCTATTTCATATTTTTATTTTTAAATGTATTTTTTGGATTAAAAGAATAAGATCTTGTACAAATTGCAGATATGGGATGCGGCACAAGTCGCTAGGGGGGTCAATGCATTATATGCTATGATTCGTCTGCAATGCGGATCATTTCCTTGGAGGGCAATAAAAATAAAAAATTCTAAAAAGTTAAAAAAAGCATAAGAATACAGAGAATACTACAAAATGCGATTTATGTGATAATAGAAATTTTTATTTATTATTTGCCTCACATATATACGTTGTTTGAGTTATTGATTGAGTAAGAGAGACCTTTTTTTGTCTACATTCTCTATATAATTATAACAGTCCAATCCATTCATCAAAATCATTAAAAGAGGGAAACGAAAGAATATGTCATTATATACTAAGCAATTGGGTAAGAAAGTGATCATTGAATGATACAAACTATTGAAAGAAAAATATGATACTATCAAAAGAAATTGGAAAGTAGCAACTGCAGCATATAGCCTAAGAAACGCTAATCAATATGGAATCCTAGCCCTCAAGTCTTTTAAAATTAAACTTCCAATTCTACCCCTCAACTACAACCAAAAAATGTCCTGTAACTTAAATAAATAAAAGGCCATATAAGACATGCTGCATCAACGCTTCATTTTGAGCTAGTCAAAACGTAACCTAGCCCCTCGTCAGTTGCAAACATTGAGCATTTCCGATATGTTATATTCCCAGATGCAAGTGTTGTTATCATGGTACATGATATAATATTAATAGATTGAAGTTCGTGGAGATTCATGGGAGAAATCTCGAGTTGTGACCAGTATTGGGGTTAAATATTTTGTGGACCTATTTGGAAATTTTGCAATGAGTGAGTGAAAATGTTACCTAGTCCCTTGTTCGTTGCAAACATTGAGCATTGCCAATATTTGATATTGCCAGATGCAAGTGATGGTATCATGGTGCATGATATAATATTAATAGATTGAAGTTTGTGGAGATTGATGGAAGAAATCTCGAGTTGTGACCACTTGGGGGTTAAAAATTTTGTGGACCTATTTGGAAATTCTGCAATGATCGCTACTCTGGGTATTTTTAGGAGCAACCCTAACATTTAAGAAACTAACCACAAAGTACAGATGTGAGTTCTTTTTGTATCAAATATTTTGGGGTCGCCTCATCCCCCCTGGGCGGGGGGGGGGGGGGTGGTTCTGGGGGTGTGGGCGCATATTGTAAACCTTAACAGTGTAGTTGTGACTTAATTAAATGGCAAGACTTTTGCTCTCTGTTGTGCTCTGTTAAACATGCCGTTATTAGGCATAGATAGATCATGGAGATGCATCCTTTGACAAATAATTGCTTCAAAATGCATTAGTAGGGAGAACTTCATTAGGGAGTATATTTATGGATTAGGCCTTCCATCCTTCATCATTTGCTGTTGTCCTATATACGGGATGGCCTTCTAGATTTCCCGACAGAAGATCAGTTGGTCTCATTGGTAATTCTAGTGTCCTTCACTGTTTGTGAGGCTGCCCTTTTTCATGTATTCCCATCACTATTCATGACTATGGACATGGCAGAGTATTTTCATCTATTTGATGTACAGAGCATTGGTTGAAAGAACTTCGGTTATGAATTGTGAAATCTACTGTTCTAACCATGCTGTGGTACTATGTTATTTAAAGAATATTAGAATGAGAAATAATCTGGTTAATGTCTTCATTGAGCCAAAGTGCCTTTCTTATATGCAGAGCTTATGAATGATGCCAATAAGGCAATAACTAAGATGGCACTAAAACCAAAAGAGAAGTACCTACTAATTGTCTCTAATTCTACCAGTGTACCGGGACTCGACTTGGCCAAGACATTCCTCCATTAGCCGAGGCGAGTGACTTGGTGAGTCCCAGTCACTCGTTGGAGTCCACCCCGAGTTAAAAAATTAAAAGAAAAACAATAACAAATTATTTATTTATGACATGCTTTGGACAATTAAACTCAATTGGCCCACTGCTTAGTGGTGTGGGCCTCCTCAAGAGGTTGAAGGATCGAATCCCAGCTACGAATATCATTTTTGAACACCACTTATAAAAATAACCCATTCTTTTTAATAAAAATCCCCTTATTTTTTAATAAAAAATTTCGGCGGCAGTGTCTGAGGGGATCTGAACGTGATGCCTATAGATTGTAAGTACTAACCAAAAAACCATTTACCGGCTTTTTGCAGTAAAACGAGCATACTTAATATTTATGCAAGTGTACTCTGTACTTGGCGTCGCCCTAAGTGCAAGTATGAATAATTCGCCCCTGTCCGACTCAGCTCGGACGAGTCACAGAACACTGAATTCTACCATTGTCTATTCTAGAGCAATTGATTTTTTTGTGTGCTGACTTGTCTATCAGATTATTGTTCTTGACCATTTGAACTTATTGTGTTCTTACAATTTCTACCACTATTATATTCCTACGCCATATGCAAATTATGAAAGTTTGCCTTGATGGTACTGCTTAATATATCTTTTTTGTTATGTATGTATTTCATGCATGCTTCTATGGAACTTTCTGTTTATAAATCTAACTCTGCATTTTTCTTTTACTGAAGTTTGTTTTGACAGGTGAGTCCATGTTGCTGGAACAAGCAACTCTTCAGATGCACAAAGTTCCAATGGATAAAGACTGTGCTGCTCATGAAAGAGAATATGTGGACGGCCTTACTTGTGCAATTGAAGTTAGCCACAGTAGGAGAAATCTAAGCTTAATACATGCTGTACTGATGTCAATCAACTTGTGGTGTGAGAATCGGCTGACGGATTATCATCTATATTTCAGTGAGGTCAGTTTTTTATATTCTAGTCTTAAGGATCTACCAGATCGTTCATTCTTAATAATATGCTAGTTGGTGTGCGACGATGATTTGTTTCTACAGGAATGTCATAGACTTCTATTATAGGGATGTTTTTAATTGCAGAATGCATAGTTGCTTTCCAGATTTAATGCATAACCTGCTTTTGAATGGTTCTCTTGTGCCTTTCTAGGATTCGAGCAATTTTGAAGTGGTGGTAAACTCTGCAGTAGTTATCAAAAGGCTTGTTTCTCTTGAATGTGGTGAGAATAAGGTCAGATGTCTCCCAACTTCTATATTTATCTGATGAGATAATTTTACTATTCTTTAGGACAATCTTTGTATAATAAACTTCTGGTAGATTCTCTTAATGCATCTTAGAGGGTTTGATGTGGATGTGTCCCTTTTGTGTCTTATTCTTTCAAGTTGTGAGGTCATCAGTCATCCTTGCAGGTGGTAAATCAATCTGTGACAGAGCGGGAACTGGTTTCTGAACAAATAAAAAACTACATTACGAGATCTATCCAGGCGGCATATTTAAGAGTGAGTTTTATACAGTGTTTCTTCATTTCAATTACATCCTCTGGTGAAATCACTGGGCACTATCATGTAGCACTTCAGTGACATATTTGCAATGCTTTAGGTTGTGAATGCATTGGATACTAAAGGTGCAGCAGAGGGAAAGCCCCCTTTAGCCTTGCTTGCTGATGAAATCAAATTTATCGTTGAAAGAGAAAGAACAGTATTTACACCTGTATTATGTCATTGGTGTCCTGATGCGAGGGTTAGCTCTATTCTGCTTTTACACCGGCTTTATGGACAAAGGCTGGTAAGGATGCCTCGACTCTTTATTGAAACTTGATACATATCTGCAATTGATGTTCTTTTTGTTCCCAAGCACTTGTGGCAGTGTGTCTTGCATTGGGTTTTTAAACAATTTGAATCTCTTATATATCAATTTACACTGATTTTAGAGGCCGTTCCTTGAAGGGGTGTCGCAACTTTCTAAGGATGCCAGATCTGTGCTTCCAGCTGCTGATGCCCTGGACCATTATTTGATGGACTTGGTCCATTCTGCACATGGAAAGGAAATGGTAAATACTTCTTCTGGGAAAGACTTGCATTCGTATCAGGTAAGACAAAACTCCCCATTATTTCAAATGTAATAACTTAAATGAGCAATTATATTTCACACTAGAGTTTACGTGACTTGGGATTAATCTGGAAAGGATTGTTTGGCATCACATTAAACGTTCATTCAGAATTTTTTAGCCTGAATGTGTGGATTGTATGTGTGCAATGCCTCTCGGTTTTTCAAGTTGAACAGTGCTTTGGCTGATGCACTTTATTCTAGATGACAAGGCCTATTCAAATAACTTATAATGCAATCTTACGCATAGCAAATTTTATTTGTGTGTTGCGTGATGTTTTGTATACCTGTTCACCAAGAAGAAAAAGCTCTGCTAGTTCATGTTTGTCTCTCCGTCACAATTCCACTATCTTATGTTGATCTATATGATTCACATCAGTGCTAAAAAACTCAACGAAGTTGACTCAGAATTAGGTGAATTATAGAGTAACTAAGTGTACTATGCATGACACTCGAATGAGTCACTAAAGTGCTCACCCAAGTTTAAATCATAGTTTAAGAAAAGTGGGGGGTGGAAATCCACCCCCAGGTTCTTTTTTTTTGGATTTCGAGCATAGGGTTCGTGATTTGACCCAAATCGATTCCTTTGAAAGATTTTAGCCTGATCTATCTACTAGAAAAATTAGATTTGAGAAAAAGGCCTCATATTTGATGTACATTTGAGATCAACGATTTCAGGTAAGGGTTTGCCTGATTTTGAAAATTTGTGATTTTTGCATGTTTTGGTTGATTTTTAGTGAAATTTGAGCCCTAACCCTATTTCCAGGTTCATTGTCCAGCCATAGGCTTATTTTTCAGGAAAAAACACAAAAAGTTAGGACTTGAAATATTTGAAATTTGGATACCATTCATTTAAAATTTTAAAGAGCTTGGATTTCCTATCTGAACCTAAAACCCGTATTGGTTAGGGGGTTTTGATTTCGGTTGTCTAAGAAAGCTTGAAATGATTAGAGGCATCAATTTGCATTGAGCGTGAAGATTGGTGTTCAGCCTAAAAAATCGGGTAAATTTACCGAAAGAATCAGTAAGATTCTGTTTTATTGTTTTTCCAATTTTTTTGTACACAGAGGGACTTTTTAGAACTTTTAATGATACCTATTATAGTGTTGGGTTATTTTAAAATGTGATGATACTAATTATATTGTTTTTATGTACTTTTTATGCCTCTAGCGTGCTTCGGTTGTTATGGAAGTAATATTCTCTTTCAAAAACTCATGTAATTCAAATTTTTTTGTTTTTGATGCATAAAAGGATCTATTGATGGATACATTAGCTTAATGTTTCTGATGGTTTTTATTTATTTATTGAAATGATTCACTACATGCTTGAAATGTTTTGAAAGCAATGTTTTCTCTATAAAATTCTGTACTTCTGTTTTTTTTTTATGCATAAAAAGATACTCTTATAAATGTATTAAAATTTTAAAACAATATTGCTAACATGAAACGTTTTTAACTTAATGTTGCTAATGTGATATATTTTAAATGCCTCCAGTAGGCATATATTTACAATGCCCTTGAAAAGATATCTTGATGTATATATCAATATTTCAATGTGTATAGCGACATGTTACTGAGGAATTTAACTTTTTCTCATATTTGGGATGTGTAATTGTGAGTAGAATATATTGGTTTAGGTGTTTCCACCTTCAACATACTTGCTTTTGTAGGGTTAGGAGATGTTGAGGGAGGATCTGGCATGACAACATGGGGTGAAGCTGCCAGAGAGGATAGGGGGTGGGTCAAGCGTGGGTATTATGGAAAGGAAATGGAAGACCAAGTTGATTGTCTGAAACATCAACTTGCCAACATTTTATGTAATGTACAACCATGTGGAAAGGTGTATGGGCAACTTAACGAGCTGATGCAGAGAGCTATTGAGGTAGTAAAAGGAAAGAAGGTGCAGAGACAGGGTAATTGAGGAGATAGGCAGTGAGCATTATGCACCGCGAGAGGATGGGGATGAAGAGTTTCAGGCTCAGATGGAGCTTGCAAGGAGGGCCAGTCTTGGAAATATACAAGCTAGACAACTCCAGATTGATGAGATGTATACTAGACGGGCATGGGCCTCCAGCAGTTTTCCCCTTGAACCAATAGTACCTGGTGTTTGCGTGGGGGAGGGGGGGGGGTGGTGGGGGTCAAAACTCTTTATTTTTCTTCTTGAAAAGACTTTATACTTCTTCCTGCCCTTTGTAACCCCAACTCCGATCACAATCCCAATCCTGTCCTACTGATCTGTCCCATATTAACCCCTTAAGGCCTTGATCCCACTAGAAGACCATTAACACCTCATGGGCATCAGGAATTAAGGATAAGGTGAAGAGGGCAATTGTCGGTTTTTCTAAGTCACTGCTACCCCATTCCTTGCAGAAAACCATTAATATTAGCAAGCGATAATATTCATTATAGCCAATGTTACGTGGATATTGATACACGTGCTGGTATCTAGTACATATCTGAATGTATAGTGCATGAGCAAGAAAAAGTAGTATGTCCCAACATGTCCGTACAACACTTTAGCTCCAAGTTTTATGGTTATGTAATAAATTTTCCACGTGTTTAACGTTACTATCATGTGGCACAGGTGGTAGAATGCTCTGAGCTTTAAAAAGGGCAATGTCACTGGTTTAAGTCCGGTCCATGGTGCCCTTATGCCTTATAAATTGCTTCAATTTTCTCTATCCTATTATATTTAAATGATTATTCACTTATCACTCTTCAAAGTCTCGCCCTATACTTGGTAGAGGGAACTTAATCCCAAGAGATCCTTGGTTCGAGTTTGACCGAGGCTATTTTTTATCATTACTGCATGTTGACTTTTTTAAATACATATGAATTATTCTTTATTCTACCACTAAACTCACAGTCAACCTAGTAGACCGCACTTACAAAGTCCAGCACACTTAGAGCCAATTGGCTTTTGTATTTCCGTGAGTATTATAATCTGAAATAATTAGTCTGTTTGATTGTACTTCTATATGGTTTATCTTATATTTTTCTACGAAATGATGAGAATTATATGAAAGTCACAACCCCACTTAAAAAAGATTGCAATCGGGATCCTCAAGCAAACTTGTTCTGCCACGGGTTGTACTACATTCTGGTGGAAGAGGAATATGTTGAAAATCAAGAGGCCTTACAAGTTAGTCTACGTGCACTATAATCTAAGCCAAAGAAATAGGCAGCTAATGAGGGAGGAGAAGGATTACGATCCTATCATCCTCGACACCATACTCAATGAGGGTTTAGTAGAGGAATGGCTGGTGAACCAAGAAGAATTACCCAATCAAGAAAACCTTGAAGAACAAGTTGTTGATGAGCGAGATGATGTAGAAGTGGAGTGGATTGATCAGGAGACTCAACAAGAGGCACAACCAAAGGAAGTTGAGGAGGGTTAAGATAGTGGGTTCTCTACTAAAGAGGAGGCTCTACTAAAGAGGAGGACCAAAGTGGTAGGCTATAGAGGCAAGGTGATGGGAGAAAGAGGTGAAGTGGTGAGTGCTAGAGCCATGGTGGTAATGAATATGAGGGTTGGACTAGCTTTGAGGACGTTGGACTAGCTTTGAGGACTTTGGATTAGGGATCATTGGGGTAGGACCGCTTCGTTGATCACATGGATTTGGGACGAACCCTCTTCCTGGCACCCATGGTGTAGATGAACAAAGTTCTTTTTGGACCTAGGGTGGAGTGATGTACTTTTGAATTGGAGTGCTCTCTATGAGACTCTGACACTATGTGAGATATTGTGGAGTGCAAAGGGATGCATTATCCTAATCCTTGGTCTTTATTGTGTACTTGTGAGAATTGCCGCTAGAATAGTACAATTATATTAACTGCAGTACAATTCAGCATTTCATTAAACTTGTTTATTATTTTCTTTTCATGTGACTTTTTTTTTGAGATTTTTTATTTATTTTGATTTCTTTTTGGAATTCTCGGAAAATGGGGTGTTTTTGGCCCTTTTCTTGTCTCGGTCATGACTCTGGTGAGTCTGAGTTGGGTCACCAGAGTAGCTTGGCTAGGGCAGGTGCCAAGTACGTTGCACGAGCCCTGTTTTAAAAATTGGTTCATACCCATGTTACATAAATTTTTCTAGGGAAACAAGGCTTAACTGTAAAAAAAGAAAGTGATTATATTGTAAAATCATGTTCTATGTTTAATCCATATCTAAAAGAGAAGCTTTAATCCATATCTAAAAGAGAAAGTCTTTGATGCATATCAATGAAAAAAGAAAGAAATAGGGTGAAAGACGTATATCCCCCTCTCTATAATTATATTTGATGCACATCAATGAAAAAGAAAGAAATAGGGAAAAAAGACTTATATCCCCCTCTATTATAATTGTATTACCAAATAAACCCTCAGGTCCATAGAAACCCAAGGACCCCCTCGAAGTTAAAAGAAAAGGACATTTAACCCTCTCCCTACCCTTCTATTGTCCATAGTATGTTATTTATACTTTTTCTTTGGGAAAATTTATCAAATTACCCTTATGAGATGAGCACTTTAACATTTTGCCCATATTTTTTGCAAATTTCAAGGTACCCTTAAAAAACACATGATCTTGAGTTGGAATAGTTACAAATGAGAAAAATATTAAACAATTCATTTCTAATAGGTTTTTTTGATAAATCTCCCTATTCTTTATTTTAATAATTTCATCATACAAATGAATTTTGGATACCATGTTTAACCTACTTGTAAGATTAACGAGAGAGAGAGAGAGAGAGAGAGAGAGAGAGAGAGAGAGAGAGAGAGAGAGAGAGAGAGAGAGAGAGAGAGAGAGAGAGAGAGAGGAGGAGGTAGTGTACGGTAGGTAGGTAGTAGTAGTAGTAGTAAGTAAGTAAGTAAGTAAGTAAGTAAGTAAGTAAGTAAGTAAG